TAAAACCAGCGATGGATATCTTAGATGGATAACATCTCAGCAGAAATGTGGAAATATTAATTTATAGTGAAATTAATCAAAAGTTGGGAAGTCCAACAACATTACTAACAAAGTTCACACAACAATAAAATGATAGGCGTAAATATTACAAACTTTATAAATATAAATTTAAACTATTATGGTTTTTTAAACTATAAAAAGGAAAACTTTGTTTGTAATTAAATAACTCAAAAACTACTGGGCTGATGTGAAAAATTCTTTCACCATAAAAGAGCTACGTTGTCGGCGAGTAACATAGGTTATGTTTTATATTATTTTTTATTTTCACGCGGTCGTAGTCGCAGGCGAAAGCAAGTTCTAAATATAATGTTCGTAAGATACAAGTTTCTTACCTTGATTGGGTTTTAGCTCCCGATGTTTCGGCACAGTTGCATGCGCCATGTATTAAAGCTATAACAACCCAACCCTGATAAGAAACCCGTATCTTACGAACATTAAAAAGCTTTAAAAGACTAATAATCTGACTAATATTATACTTAAACTAGCTGTTCCCGTGCGGCTTCATCCGCATGAAATTATGAAAATGTTATTTGATTGTTCACATTCGTCTAATTATCAATACCAAATGTCAAAATGACATGACATGACAAAACTTGACAATCTTGCTTCCTTGATGTTGGCAGCAACTTATGGTCTTTATCCCACATTAGGGTTTTTTTCTAAAATATTTACCCCCTAAGTTTTATAGCGTGAAAATACATAGCCTAAAGCGTGACGTAACTGTAAATCTTTTTATTATGAAAGAGTTATTCAAAAATATGCTGTAATTGCTGACATCTTAAGCAACAAAGAAGTGTGTGTTTACGCTTTATTATAATAGTATAGAAGTATAGATAGTATAGATGTGAAAGTTAAGGGTATGAATAGATGGGGCGTATTATTATATTTGCCACTAATGCAAAGCTGGGGAAGATCGATAATCTATACGTTAATATTATAAAGAGGAAAGATTTGTATTTTTGTGTTTTTTTATAATAAAAGAGGGCAAACAAGCGGCGAGAACACCAAGGTGGGCAATGACGCCCATTGACATCCGCAACACCAGAGGAATGTTTGTATTGAAATAACTCAGTCCTTTTCAATTCAATAACATAGGCTATTTTACAACTATTTTAATTCCACGCAGACCAAGTCGCGAGCAACAGCTAGTAATCAAAGGAAAAACCCAAGGTATCAGCGTATAGTTTGTAAGAGCGTTACGTCATAGTCAACCTGGCTGTCATAAATTGTCGTTTTATGAACAGCAGCTAGCTGACCAAAGGTCCAATTAACAACACGTCTAAGAATACAAATGAATTTTTCCTGATAATGTCAAAATCAAATAACACTAATAGCACTTACAGTTGTTAAGTAACCCTTTGTGTTACTTTAAGGGTGATTCTAATGACAGATTGCCAGTCGTCACATTATTAAAAACGTAATACAAATCGAAAGTTATGAAAGAATCGCGACATCCAAATGTAAATGTAACCAACGTGTGTGAGTGAGAACACTATATACCGCTCAACTCTCACTTCAAAGTAACGAGCATGCGCTTTGATCGTTTCCTTTATTTTCAGATGTTTATTATGATTTTAAACATAGCTAGTTGTTGCATACAGTTTCACTTATTATTTTCCTCTTGTTGGCAACTTTCCGCGTGTAATTAATGGTTTTCTTTCGGTTAATATAACAAGGTTATTCTAGAAGCAACTTTATTGTGTATTGAAATAATTAAATCTAACTTTTTATACAAAATATACGGAAATGTATAATCAAACGGAATAATGGCAAAGGTATAGTTAATATGACTTGCACATTTAAATTAAAAATATATTTGTTATGGGTGAAAGTGGCTCATATGCGCCCACGCAACTTTAAGCAATGACAATCTTTTTATTTTAAACTTATGTATTAACTTAGTCTAACTTCGTTAAATACTGACTGGTTGTAAATTCAATCATTTTACAATATTACCAGAGTTATTATAAATTCAAATTATTAAAAAAAATACGTTATTTGTACAAGTTTAAATTAATATTAATTTTTTTTATGGCAATAACAATATAAAATGGTAATAATTTAGCTCTTTACGTATTATTCTCATATTTGTTGTTAACAATATAAATATACATTATAATAAAATGAATTCATAGTTTTATTTCGAACTGGCACAAAAATATACCTCGCATTTCAATTTAACAGACAAAAAGAATTAAACGCGTCCAATCTTGAAAACCCTGACTTAATCACTGAGTGAAATCAAAAAAATTTTAAATTATACATTGTCTTGTTTATTGTTTCATAATTTCAAGGTTAGAATTAATTTGTGGTTCGTATTTAACCCTCTATAACCTTCTATATATCTTATTATTAATTAAATTATCATATCTATACATCTCGTAGTAATTACCGCCATGTTGGATTATTAACATTCAAAGTACGGTCATTATTTTTTGTCTGTGCCTTTTGTTTAAAAAAAATCTGAGTTACACACGATAGGCTATAAGCAGTGGTTTTTGTGCCTATTGGATTTTCGCCATTTTGACGGGGGTTTTTGGTTTTGGTGGCGGTGTTGAAAACTCGAACTAAGTATATATAATTTATTACAGTAGCTTCAAATAGAAGTTTCTGTACTATCCAGCTTATCTTGTTTTGAATGGGAGACTTAGGATCTGTCCCATCACTGGCTGATAGAGGCTCAGATAGCTTAAAAATGACGTCGCAGTCAGATAAGGTAACAAAACCCAATATTTTAAACGTTGGATTGTTATCAGACAATTTACGATTTGGTGGGACAGGCCCTAAAAATTTTAATGTCAATTTATGTCACCTGCAAATCATCACCGTCAGTTTGCAATTTACCGAGAAGAATCATTATGACTCGGCAAATATCATATCGAAAAAATCTATTCTCAAATTGACGTATTACTTTTGTAGGTGATATTTTCTCGTATAACTGTCATCTTGTGTGCAGTCAATAAAGAATCATCTCTGCACTACACTCACTGCAGGACCAGCATTGATGCAGTAAAAGTAGCCAGAAGCCAACCGAATGTTACACTTTGTTACATTATGTGTTATAGAACAGTACGCCTTCAAGTATTGTCATATTTGTGTGGCAACGACACATACAAAATATTGGTTGTCTCTGTTTTTTCAAAGAGAATGAGAGAGATGACGACATCTGTTGCGTTAACCATGAGTTTTATGGCATAG